GCTGGCCAATCAGAGCAGACTGCGCTTGTCGGAAGGAGGGACTTTGTAGAAAACGAAGCGTTTGAGAGAGGCGGGGCATAGAGGACCTACAATAATGTACAGTATTTGAAAAATAATGTGTTTTTTGAACATTAAAGCATGTCAACATATTCTGTTACACCAAATACACAAAATAATGATCTTTAAAAAAAGCATCATGTGACCCCTTTAAGTTGAATAATAATTTTCTTTGTGGGTAGGACTTTGGAAACGGCTCTGTCTTATCTGACGATCTGGATGAGGAGCCAGAGCTTATCCTGGACGCTGAGCCTCGCTACGCCTCTCCCCTCACCACCATTGACCTTCTGCCCGTCCTGGAGCGAGAGATGGCTGTAGATGAGGATGATGAAGAGCAGGAGATGGACACCATGAAGGATCAAGGGAGCTCCAAGGTCAAGGGCGACAGTCTGCCTTCATACTTGAGTGAGAAGACTATGGACAATGAGCTTTGCACAAGCTTTGAGAAGTTTCAGCTGCAGCTCCCGCAAATTCCCCTTAGTGAGTGTTTGTCTTTAAAGCAAGGCTTATTTCAGTATTAATATACTGAAGTTCATTGCAGTTTGACATTTATACATCTGTTCTCAGGTCAGTCGGCCACATGGATAGAGGCAGCAGACAGCGAGGCAGACTCTGACTCCAGAAACGAAGGCTCAGAGCTTACCTTGACCGACACCGACACTGAGTGAGTCTCCATCTGTAATAAACACACACACACACATCTCTATCCATCACTCAGCTAACTTCTGTTCATGAACAAATTGCCATATTGTCGTCGGTTTAGTTTGGTTTAGATGACAACGTTTTAAAAACACGTCGTCATCATGACTTAAATGAATTTTTTGGTGCTTGTTTTCATTAAAATTGGTGCCCTGTGTGGAATTTTAATAACCGTGATTGTTTCCTAATAGAACGATAACTCCACCTGCTGGACAGATGTGGTGCTAAAATATTAACAAAGGCATTTACAAAACTCGAATTTTAAAGATGTAAAAACAAGATATTCAAATTAAGCAGTTTGTGGCGTTAATCATAATTTAGAGATTTATGCTTTTTGATATGTTACAAGTATTAGAAAATGATCATGCTTATCTTAATTATGAAAATGAGTTAATTATGATAATCTATAACCCAGGTGTGGTAGAGAAATTGAGGAAAAGTGAGAAATGGATATTAAACACCGTTTTCAACTACACAATGATTGGTGTGAAATGCAGCTGAGACTCGGGCAGCTGTTTATGACATCAGTGTAATAGATAATTTGTGTGAGTGTGTGTGTGTGAGAGCGAGAGACTGCTTTTTGGTTTATGTGAATACATGTTGGAAATTATTAACAAATTAATAATTTTTTTCACTGCACAATATTGATCTTTAGAAAGGGAAAATATTTTTACTATTATTAAATAATGAATAAACAATATAAATGTTTTATATACAGTGGGGCAAAAAAGTATTTAGTCAGCCACCAATTGTGCAAGTTCTCCCACTTAAAAAGATGAGAGAGCATACATAAATCTAACATTAAATAATAAGAATAATGATAATACTTTTTACTAGTAGTAGTAGTGTAAAGTTTTATTAAATGTATTTTAACACTATAAAATAGCAATATAATAATGTATTTTATGTAATATAATAAATATATTATAATGTTGTATTATTATTTGTTTCATAGAGCACCTTCTATGCAATTTAAGCTCAAAGCACATAAACAAATAAAAATAATCTGTTCTAGTGGTATGTTCTAGCTGTGTTTATGTAATGATTTTAATAGGGACAGGAAGTAATGCGTTGATTTAATGTTTTTGTATCAGATATTTTAAATCAAATAAGTCTATAAGCTGTTGGATGACTGAGTTCCTCCGCTCCTCTTTATCCATTATTAATCATACTTTATTCTTCCCTGATATTACAGTGGATTTTATTTGTTCATGCTGTTTAATCAAGTGAAATATTTAAGAAATTATTTCACTTGCTTTTGTGAACGAAGACCTGACAAGATCTATCAAATGTGATTAAGTCAGAATCGCTGTTTATTCTGCGTAAACCTGATGAGTCTGATTCAATCTAGCATATGTGACTAAGACTGACTCTGGGACTGTAATACATCTATGAGGGATTTGTGTGCTCGATTTCTCTCTGCAGATCTGCACAGCACACTTCCTCTCACAGCAGGAAGAGAAGAAACCAGGGGGCTGCCGGTTCAATCAGAGAAGGCCACAGGTAGAAACTTTGCGGCATTAATAATCATTGATATTTTAGAATTTGATGGTAAGTTTAGGAATGATGCTTTTTATTATAACTATACGATAAATGTATTGTCTGCAGTGATCTGCCTGAAAGAGAGGAGGGAGAAGGTGAGGAGACACCTGCGTTCAGTCACTGGGGTCCCCCACGCAGGTAAAAAATACTGAAGAGTTTGTGTGAATCAAGAGATTTCCATGGAAAGGAATTAACAAAGTAGTAACAAAAATTTAAATGGAAGCAAAAAATGAAAAAAATAAAATGAAGAGTGTATGAAAAATAATAAAAAATAAATAAAAAAATATATATATATTAGGGGTGTAACGGTACACTTATTCGGATCGAAAATTTGCGGTAAAGTCTTTCGGTTCGGTATGCATGTGTACCGAACAAATACACCGTTGTTTTAACCACTGTACGAGTGGAACTTCATTGGAAACTTCCAGTTTTATATATTGTTAATTTTGATAAGAAACAAAGTATCATCTTTCAAATGATGTCCATTTTATTCAGGAAATTAAAACAATAAATGCCGTTTTGATGCTGTTTGATGCGGCGTGACCGATCGCATTTAAATGTTTCAGTTCAAACGGCAGCGCAATCATCCCTTCCTCTTTACTAGGCTACTAGTTTTCATGTGAAATAAACATGAATGAACATCTCATGCTTCATGTAATCACTCAATCAGTGTTTCACCTGCAGAAAGACGTCAATAAAACAGCTTGTAAACAAAACGTCACGTAGCATTTCATTTACTTCAGGAAGTCATCAGTGTCCACAGCTCGTTATTTCTCTATAAATTAAGTCTAGAGAAGAGCATTTCGCAAAATATTAGCCTATATACTCATTATATTTTACTTTACCTGTTTGTGATGTCTTAATTATTTAATGTTTAAATAAATCTGTTATGAAACAAGTTATGAGAGCCACTGTGTAAATTAATATATTTCAACAACAAATAGAATTTTTACAATTTAGAAGTTAATTTACAAACTGCATTATGTGCAATTTACATGCTTGCATACTTTTTTAAAAAGTTGAGTGTTGAATTAGGTTTAAAAAGAAATAGTAATACATATATATATATATATATATTCATTCAATCCTTCATGTTTTATAAATGCACTTTTCATATAAAAGTATTTTGATATTTTATAAATTAATATTGAAATTATTATTAGCAAATAGTGACATCCATAAAGGTTAAAATAAGTAACAAATATTCTTTTAGAATTCTTATTCTATATGTAGTTCACTAAGGAAAGTTATAAGGCTGCTATTAAATGTTTGCTTATTGACATTGTTCAAATTTAATATTTTAATAATTTTATTATTATCATCATTATTATTATTAATGTATATATTATTATCATTGTGTATCACCCTTATGCATACAAACAAACAAATACAGACGTGTGTTTTTTTCAGTTAATTAATTATTTTTTTGTTCTATCTCTGTTATTGTAGCTCAGTTGACCGTGATAAGGACAGGAAGTGATGTGTTGGTTTGATGTTTTTGTATCAGAGATAATGAATCAAATAAGCCACTGCTCTTCTTTTTTCTATTATTATATAATATTATATTATATCGGTGTCATGGGTTGCTATTGTGAGGAGCACGGAGCGAGGAACGAGGAGATGCGGAATTCATTTCAAACGGTCTTTAATACATTTCCAAAGGAACCAGGAGATCACCCGAAGCAATGTAGACAAAACAAATTAGTTTAATTCTTTTTTTTTTTTTTCAGGCAATCACACGTAGCACAAGGAGTTGACAAACAATTCCAGACCAGGGAGAACAGAACGGGCTAGAACTAAATAGGGCAGATAACGATGGGCAGACAGGTGATGGGGATAACTAATAACAAGGAACAGGTGATACTAATAATGGGAAAAAGAACTGGAAGGACCAAATCAGGATAACAGGAACTAAACGGGAACTTACACGTGACAGTAGGGATGCACCAAAATGAAAATTCTGAGCCGAAACTGAAATTTCTGGATGCACTTGGCCGAAAACCGAAATGGAAAATGCTTTTTAATAATTTTATATTAAATTATATTATATTATACTTATTAGATATTATATTATACTATCTATCTATATATCCTGTAATATTATATAGTAACAAATTAATGATAATTAATAATTAAAAATACATTTATTTATTTTTATTTGATTAAATTTCTTTTTTTTTTTTTTTTTTTTCAGGGGGGGGGGGGGGCCAGAGCCGCAGGAGTCTCTGGGTATCAGCATAGTGGGCGGACGCACCGTTATAAAGAGGCTGAAGAACGGAGAGGAGCTGAAGGGCATTTTCATCAAACAGGTGCTGCCAGACAGCCCATCTGGACGCACGGGTGCCCTTAAAACAGGAGACAAGATCTTACAGGTCTGAGAGCCACACACAGACACCTTCAGACACATTTGCTCTTAATATAACCGCTTTATCTGTTGACATTTATATTCTGGTCTTTTCTGCTTCCTAACCATTTTAAAGGGGCCATATTCTGTGTTTTGTAGCTTTTATTTATCCCTGAATCTGCTTGGAAAGGTTTTCTTGCACTAAAAATGGCTTTAATTTATTTCCAACTACTTTTGCTACTATACCTTATGTAAACAATGTGTAAATGACCTTTTTATGATGTTGTGACATGGTCTCAATAAACTGTTTTTTTGCTAAATAAAATGCAAAAGAAAATCCTGCAAGTCCCCTTTAAATCCCCTCTTATCTCTTTCTCCTCCCTCTATCCACTCTTTTTTTTTTCTCCGTCCTTTGTAATAAATAGGTTTGTGGAGTTGATTTGCAGAATGCCAGCCATGAGGAGGCAGTACAGGCTATCAAAGCGGCGCCCAGTCCCGTGGTCTTCATCGTGCAGAGCTTGTCCTCCACTCCACTGGTAAACCTGCCATTTCAAACTCCATTTAAAACGCCATCCTCTTCTCCTGCCTCTGTGCACCTCAGATATGACCCCCTCCCTTGTTCATGCTTGAGTGCTCTCATTTATGAAAATGGGGCCAATTCATTTCCAGTTCAACAATATTAAATCTACTCAGGGCTGGTAAATGACGCTGCACACTTGGGCCACTTCCTGACACTGCTCTGCCATTAAAGGTCTAGCCGACTTTTGATTTTTCCATAGCCCCTTTCACACATATAGTCTTTACTGGTAAATTACCGTTAAGAGATCATGTGTGAATAGGACCTTTTCAAAAACACAGGTAAATTCGTTCTGACGCAGATGACGCATTTCCTCCACGCTGTTTACGGAAGTCAAAGAAATGTCTGAAGTCGTCTAATACGATGTCTCTGGGCCAAAAGCAGCTGCATGAATGTGAACGTTTGACACAAAAGTGAAAACATCAACCAAAACACTGACCGCATATACCCCTCCATGTTTACAAACACAACACCGGGAGGCGCAGCCGTTTAGAGGTAATTTCCAGTTAATGATGTCACAGAATTTACCGGTATTTTGAAATTGATGTGTGAATAGTGCTTTACTGGTAAAAAGACGGAACATCGTTGCCTGTGTGAACAGCACATTTTTGAATTTACTTATAAATTATTAAAAATTTTACGGCAATTTACTGGTGTTACTGTGTAAAAGGGGCCTCTATATTGTAGTAAATGTGGTTCTTGTATCTTTTAACTCTCAGCCAAGTTTTGTTTGATGTGTGTCCTTGTCTTTGCATAAGGGAAAAAAGCTTAACAAAACACAAATAAATGTTGTAGTTGTGGCTACATCCTATCGCTGACACATTTAGCCACGCTGCTCTTGTAGGAGATGCAAGTTGGAAATCATCCTGTGTTGTATTTTCATGCAGCTGTCATTTTCTCTTATTTCTGCTATTTGACTGTTAATAAAAATTTAGATATTGTTTTATATATATATATATATATAAAATAAGATTAGTGACGTTTTTTAGTGACGTGAGCATGCTTTGCGCACTTTCTAGGCTATAATCCATTCAGAATCTTTTTGAAACTTTTGTTTTTCGGACACATACACCCTGCAAATTTTTAGGAATGACATCCACATATTTTTGCTGGATTCACTCTCGAAATAGCAGTGATTGACAGTGATAACCATAGCAATGGACGAGGTAAAAATATATGTTAGGAGAGCACCTCCTATTATGTTAAGGACCGATGTTGCAACAAATTGCTTGCGTTTAAATCCGGATCCCCTGCCTCTCTCTGTCGCTCTGTGTACCTGACCTGTACCACTACACTAGCTATCTTCAGAGCTTGTGTCCCCATTCTTTCTTTCACATAATGGTATGATCCTAGTCGCATGTGTATTTAAATTTTTTTTTACATTCTAATATTATATAGTATAGAATTTTCACACATCAGGGCGCCGCTATCAATATGTGAATGAGCGCTCGCAGTCGCAGTTCACTTTCGATTTTGCGATCGTGCGCACACTGTGTAAAGGGAGCACACCTTACGATAAAAGATATTTGTCAATGAGCTCGGGATCTGTTGAGGAGCAAATCCTACAACATCTTTGTCAGTTATCTCCAGTGTTGGGCAGTAACGCATTACTTTTTAACTCGTTACTGTAATTTGATTACTTTTTTAGTAACGGAGTAATTTAACGCGTTATAATTTTCAAAATAGTAATTAGAGTATAGTTACAAGCCGAAGTCTCTATACCAGGGGTGCCCAAACTCGGTCCTGGAGGGCCGGTGTCCTGCAGAGTTTAGCTCCAGTTGCCTCAACACACCTGCTTTTAAGTTTCTAGTATGCCTAGTAAGAGCTTGATTAGCTGGTTCAGGTGTGTTTGATTAGGGTTGGAGCTAAACTCTGCAGGACACTGGCCCTCCAGGACCGAGTTTGGGCACCCCTGCTCTATACGTTACTGCCGCGTTAAATTGCTGACAGGATGCAGTGTTTTATAATCTAGAGATTGTAAAAAAGGATGTAGCACACGCACTGTCGAGTCAAGTGCCAGTGGATTAGAGACCTGCTCCCGCGAGAGTGAGAAGAGTCCAACAGAGTGCGGCGCGGGACAAGATGGGCGAGTGCTGGTGAGGGCGGGTAGACACTCGTGTGAGTGCGGGATGCGGGAGAATAAAATGATTCACGGGACTCCCGCAAAATAGAAATATCTAAACATAAAATATCTGAAACAAATAAATAGTTATTCATCTATTGCACAAAAGCAACATGAACTAATATAAAATATAAACGATTAACAGGTGCAAGTGTATGCAGTTTCTATTTAGGCTATAACACGTGTTTGCAGTGTTGAGCAATGCAGTGCTGAAATTTGCGTGCTCACGAATCCTCTCATTATAACACACAAATTGTAGACATTATAAAAGATTCATTATGCATATATTTATTGAGTTATAACAGATATCTGTGAGATTGCGATGAACTGAGATGTCTTTTAGAGATTGTAATGCAGCGCTCTTTTCTGCCATGCAAGACCATGCACGCAGCAGCCGCTTGCTTTAGTTAAAAATAAGTGTTCTGTGAATGTTGATGCTTTAATAACAAATATTTATCGGGAGCGTGTATGCTGGGGTTTCATAAATTTAATGGAGAAAAAAGTAACGTTACTAATTACTTTTGAAATAAAATACTTTTAAAAGAGTAATCAGTAATCAGTAATTTGATTACATTTTCAGAGTAACTTATAAATGTGCATAACAGTGACTGTAAAATATGTATTTTAGAGATGGAAATTACATTTTTATATTTGGGACATGGTAATTGCGCTACTTATAGTAAATGTAAGTTAAAGTGTCGCAGATGTAAACGGTTAAAACTTGGAGTGACAATGAGGTCTTAAAATGCATGGAAAGAGTCTTAAAAAATGGTCTTAAAAGCTATTAAATTTAACTCCATGATTCCTGTATATACCCTGGTGTTATATTGACTGCTTTGGTGCATTCCAATACGGCATGGCATTGTTTTGATGCGTACTCCTGAAAAATATTTTTCTTTTGCCTATATATATATCATCATCATATAGACATTTAACTTGGGTTTATCTTGAATAGTTTGTATTATTATTTATTTATTTAATTTTTTCTTGCCCCCCCCCTTGACTCTCAAGGTATATATGCACACAAAAATGTCTTAAGGTCTTGCATTATATTTAAGCCTTAATAGAAACATTTAAATATTGTAATAAAATTACATAAATGTAAAAATAATACATGTAATGATAATAAATAACCATATGTATTTATTAATAATTATAAATATATAAAATGCATATGAAAATAGGAAGTTCACAAAATGTACATAAATTACACAAATTAGTTAATTCACAAAAATTGTTTATTATGCATTAGCAAAATCATTCAACCAATCATGTGCCTTGGCCAATATGTTTTTTTATTACTTATTCTAAATAATGTTTAAATAACAAAACAGAGTTGAATATAGGAAGTGTGACTGAAATGTGAGGAGGAAATATGCATCACTAGAGACCTACTGGATGATTTTTGCCTCACAATATTGTGGTCGAGAGCAGCCTGTAGGCCTCCAGCAGCGTCCTTAGTAAGGATCTGTGTGATTTGAGGGTAGAAGCTCTTCTGAACCTGTCTGTGTCGACCCTAAGGCTGCGGTTGCATCTTGTGCACTAGCGAGCAAAGCTGTTGTTTAATATAACGTAATGATTTTCCTGTCCTCAGTTCGGATGTGCTGCAGGTTGGGTACTTTGACCTCAGCATTAATACAGCCGGAGGATCTTGTTGTGCTGCTCCCATGCCGTGCGCTAATCCCTCCTGATTGGATGCTTTCAATAGTAATAGCGACATTAACGGGATGTCAATGATTGATGTGTTTCTCTGTCTGAGATGATTGATTTTGTTCGCGCTCAGCCCCAGTCTGGGAACGCACAAATCTCTAGAGCTGATGTGTCCGGGTTTGTTATCCGTGAGGTTGACTGTCTGCATGTATGCGTGTGTGTTCTCAGCCTGTTTCAGTGATGGCCTCCAGCATTAGACAGCACAAGGCTAAGAGGAAAGCTGCCCAGGTGAGTTACAAGCCTGTGCTCTGCACAAGCTCACCCATGAGTTCTGGCTCTTTCACCTTCAGCTCTGGGCTTCTCAACCCAAATCCCGTGAGAATATACATATACTGATAGATGTTGCAAACAGAGCTGTTAGTTATTTAGTGTGTTTAGTTATTTAAAAGTGGTGAAATAAAAATGAACTCAATTAATCTCTTAATTTTATTGTATCATTATATTAATAGAATTGTTAATAGTTCAAATTTTTTTTTATTATTTATTTGAATCTTTTGATATTGAGAATCCTTATCCAAAGTCAAATTAAATGATCAAAATAAAAAATCAATATATTAAAAATCATAATAAATTATATTATTAGAATGACAAAAACTTTATTTTCAGGTTTAATTTGGATTTTGAATGCTAGATTTTCAGTGCGGTCTCAGACTTCTGGACCACATTTTATATCAGTGCAAAACTGACAGATATTGCGACCAGAGCTGTTGATTTAGTGTGTAATCATAGTGCTGGGCGGTATGACCAAAAATGTATATCATGGTATTTTTCAAAATTATACTGGTTTCACGGTACATGATGGTATTTTTTTTTTCATGCATGACCGGGTGTTAACCATATTTTCCACTGATTGAGAGAGGAAATACTGCAGTATATTGACTTAGAATGCCCTATTTTACTGTCATGATGAGTGAATATTGTCAAAAAATACCTCACTAAACAGTGACCAAAGTTTCTCTTCTGCTCACTGCACAGAACAGACGCCGAGAGAGGTGACACTTCTCCGGGAAAGTCAGACCTCGCGTTCGCGGGTCAGCACTGGAGAAATCTTCCAACTGAACCATAGCTAAGGTCTATCCGATAAAAGTCGCTAGGTTTGTCAGTATGAATATTCTATGAAAAAAAGC